TGCTGGAAAAGGTCGGACGCTGGGGGGGCGGGTGCTGTGCCGATTGGCCATACAGGCTGCTAGAAACTGTGCTGATTGGCCATCCTGGCTCGATCTCCAACTGGAGGGTGGGGTGTCTGGATCCTGGCCCCAACCTGCCTGCCTGCCTTGCCTTCTTCACCTCCCCTGCCCTGAACTGCTCCCCTCAAATCCACGCCGCATACAGATCCCGTGTCACTTAGAGACCAAACCTGACCCCCCCACCCCGCTCCTCCTCCTCTCCCCCCACACCCTGCTCCGTCGCCTGCTAATGCCGCCCTCACCCCATGCCCAGGGCAGTGTGGGTACTGACTCCATCTGCTCCCGCCTGGCACCGATGAAAGCACTAGATCCGGTGCCTCACCCTGCCCCCCTCGCAGGGCTTTCATTGAGTCCCGCCCCTGCACCGCGGCCCCGAGCTGCTGTCCCTGTGTGTGTACGTGAGTGCAAGGGGCGCCAGGCCGGGACGCCCCTTTTAATTCCGTGTAACAAACTCTTCTCCACCGTGCCTGTTCTTTCATGCCCTCTCTATGTTTAAAAAAAAAAAAAAAAAAAGAGAAAAGAAAAGAAAAAAAAAACTACAAAAATCAATTTATTAAGAGAATTTAAATTAAAAAAAAAAAGAAAATTTGGAATAAATCAAGGCCTGAGTCTCATTTACTTATCAAAAGTTTCCCTTGGGCCTAAAAACAGGCGCCTCTGGGGTGGGGTGCAGAGACTGTTTCGATGGAGACACTCGTGTGGAAATGCGACCAGCTCTGGGGTAGGTGCTCGAATGCAGCTGCCTCTGGAGTAGGGCATTGGGGGCTTTTTATACCATAACCTCTCACCTGGTATTAGAGACAGACTCTCTGGGCCAGGAGCTATTTCGCGAGGGACCCCCTCCTCTGGGGCTGAGATGTGGTCTGATTGGGTGCAGGGGCTGTTCTTACAGGGCCCCACTGCCTGGTGCAGAGGGGGTCCACGGAAGTGATTTCGTGCTAAGCTGGCCCAGTACCGTGTGAGATGGGCACGTTGGGCTGATCTTCTGTCCCAGAGCGGTGCCGTTGGCCCACGCTCCCCAAATGGGGCTGGTGGAGCACGAGGGAGAGAGCCCCTCCCCCCCGAAAGGGGCTGGAGTGAAGATGGACAGAGGCCCGCGTACACACAGGGCCCATCTTGGCCCAGACCTGGGATACCCTGTCCCCTGAACCTTTCTGTGCCATGGCCCGGAATCCCTTTAGACCTCAGGAGCCCCCCACTCAAGCCAGAGGAGTTCTCCAGCCACCTTGGACTGGCCCCCTAGAATAAGAGGCTGGTATTTCAGATAGGGTGGCTATATCCCTTTAGCATGGAAGGGTGGGGTCGTGCTGAAAGAACAGAACTCCGGGAGAGCAGTGGGGTCTAGTGGTTACAGGCGGGCCTGGGAGCCAGGACTCTGGGGTTCTGTCCCTGGCTCTGGGAGGACAGTGGGGTCTAGTGGTTACAGGCGGGCCTGGGAGCCAGGACTCTGGGGTTCTCTCCCTGGCTCTGGGAGGATAGTGGGGTCTAGAGGTCCAAGCAGGCTGCTCTGAGAAAAGCCCTGGGAGGAGAGCCATGATTTTGGGACCTCAGGAATGATGATTATGGGCCCCTGCTGTTCCTCCTTACACTTGGGGCTGCCTCCTCCATGGATTCGGACAGTGCCTGGTACGAAGAGGCCCACAAAGACCTCCACTCCATGGCCCCTCCCCATCCGTCTCTGGGGGGCGCTTTGGAACGCTGCATCTCACCCCCGTGAACTCCAGGCATCCGTGGGCAGCTGTTTAGTGACTCTGACCGGAAAAGGGACACGGTCCCTGGACTATGGTCCCTACAACCTGGATGCTGAGCTCCGTTAGCCAGCTCTTTAAATGCAAAAGGGAGGCTGGCTGTGGGGGTCTGGATTTAGGGTGTGGGTGTCTAGGGCCCCATCTGGGTAGGGGCTAGATGGGATTGGGGAGAAGTGACTCTGTTGGGTGGCCTATATAGGGGGCTGGGTAAGTGAGGGGCAGGGGGCCAGGCAAGGGATTATATTTAGTTGTGTGTGGGGGGGTGAGGTAGGGTTGGGGAAGGAGACAAAAGGCTCAACTTGAGGGTGGGTATTGGCTTGATGGGGGAGGGCAAGAGGATGGGATGGGGGGAAGGGTACCACTGGGGAGATGTGGCCTGCCTTGGGAGGCGAGGGGCTGGTGGGGGTAAATACACAGGTAAACCTGGCTCCACCCACCACATCAATGCTGAATCAATGCACACACCTGCATCTTCCAAGCACAGAACCAGGCTGGAGGCGCAGATCAGATGTTTACATAGGAGTTGGGACACACCGTGGTGCCTCAGTTTCCCCACATTTGTCTCTTTCGACTGTAAGAACTTCAAGGGCAGCAACCAATGCAACACAGGCCTCCACCCTATGGAGACTATGGGGTGGCTAAAGGGAAGTTATGGGACTCAGATGAGGGAAGTTGTGGAATGTCTGGCTAGTGGGGGCTTCGGGGGTGACAGTGGGGGACCGTGGGTAGCTAAAGGCAAATTATGAGGCTGCTGTGAGGCACAGGGTGGATGTCTGGAGTAGTGGGGACTACTGGGCTCAGTAGGGCTATGGAATGTCTGGGACAGTAAGGCTCAATAGGGGGCTAGCAGGAAGTTATGGGGCAAAGGCTGCCAGCCCACCAGGATTATCCTGGAGTTCCCAGAAATGGAACATTATCAGAAGATGAAACCTCCAGGGATGAGCAACCCTTTATAGGATGGGGGGGGGTCTATGAGGGTGGGAGTAATTGAGGAATTATGCTTTGCTCTGTGGGGCTATAGGGGACTAGGAGGGGCTCAGTGAGGGGGCTATGGGGACAGGGTGACCATGGGACTGGGAGGGGCTCAGTGAGGAGGTTATGGGGCATGATGCCCATGGGGGCTGGGAGGGGCTTAGCGGGGGGGGTATG